CCCACCCCCCCACCCCTGCCCCCTTTGGTAACCAACAGTTTGTTTCTTGTATCTACAAGTCTGTTTCTATTTTGTTTTGTTTGTCTCGCTTTTTAGATTCCACATATAAGTGAAATGATATGATACTTGTTTCTCTGTCTGACTTTGATTTAGCATAATGCCCTCTAGTTCCTTCCAAGTTGTTGCAAATGGAAAGATATTCATTTCTTATGGCTGAATAATATTCTATTGTGTATATATAGCACATTTTCTTTATCCATTCAGCTATTGATGTACACTTAGATTGTTTCTGTATCTTGGCTATTGTAAATAATGCTTCAGTGAACAGAGGGATGCATAGATCTCTTTGAATTGATGTTTTCATTTTTTTTTTCAGATAAATAACCTGAAGTGGAATTGCTGGATTATATGGTAGTTCTACATTTAATTTTTTAAGGAGCCTCCATACTGTTTTCATTCCCAACAGTGCACAAGGGTTCCCTTTTCTCCACATTCTCACCAGCACTTGTTATTTTTTGTGTTTTTGATAATAGCCAATTTGACAGGGTGAGGTAATACTCATTGTGGTTTAGATTTGCACTTCTCTGATCATTAGTGATGTTAAACATTGTTCCATGTGTCTGTTGGCCATATGCATGTCTTCTTTGGAAAAACATCTATTTAAGTCCACTGCTCATGTTTCAATTTTTTTTTTTATATGAAGCTGCATGAGTTCATTATATATTTTGGATATTAACCTTTTTTTTTAAAGATTTTATTTATTTATTTGACAGAGAGAGACACAGCGAGAGAGGGAACACAAGCAGGGGGAGTGGGAGAGGGAGAAGCAGGCTTCCCGCTGAGCAGGGAGCCCAATGCGTGGCTCGATCCCATGACCCTGGCATCATGACCCTAGCCAAAGGCGATGCTTAACGACGGAGCCACCCGGGCTCCCCTTGGATATTAACCTCTTCTCAGATTATATAATTTGCAAATATCTTCTCATTCAGTAGGTTGTCTTTCTGTTTTGTTGATGGTTTTCTTTGCTGTGCAAAAGTTTTTTTAGTTTGACAAAATAAATATAATTGTTTATTTTAGCTGTTGTTGCTCTTGCCTGACAGACTGGTCCACAAAGTATTCCTAAGACCAGTGTCACAGAGCTTACTGCCTATCTTTTCTTCTAGGAGTTTTATGGTTTCAGATGTTATATTCAAGTCGTTAATCCATTTTTAATTTATTTTTGTGTATGGTATAAGATAGTGGTCCAGGTTCATTCTTTTGCATGTAGCTGTCCAGTTTTCCTGACACCATTTATGGAAGAGACTGTCTTTTCCTCATTGTATATTATCTGTTTTGCTGTAGATTAATTGACCATGTAAGTGTGGATTTATTTCTGTTTATATTTTATTTCTATTCGAATTCATTGATTTATATGTCTGTTTTTGTGCCAGTACCATGCTATTTTGATTACTGTTGTATACTTTGTAGTATACTTTGAAATCAGAGGGTATGATTGATTGCTCCACTTTTTTGTTTTTTCTCAGGATTGCTTTGACTATTTGGGATCTTTCATGGTTCTTTACAAATTTTAGGATTTCTTATTCTAGTTTTGTGAAAAATACCATTGGTATTTTGATGGGGATTGCACTGAATATGTAGATTGCTTCGGATAGTATGGACATTTTAATAATATTAATTCTTCCAATCCATGAGCATGGTATACCTTTCCATTTATTTTTTTCTTCTTCAGTTTCTTTCATCAGTGTCTTGAAGTTTTGAGAGTACATGTCTTCTACCTCCCTGGCTAAATTTATTCCTAGGTATTTTATTATTTTTGATGCAATTGTAAATGGGATTGTTTTCTTAATTTTTTTCTTTCTGATAGCTGGTTGTTAGTGTATAGAAATACAACCAATTCCTGCATGTTAATTTTGTATCCTGCAACTTTACTGAATTCATTTATTAGTTCTAATAGCTTTTTTGGTGGAGTCTTTAGAGTTTTCTCTATGTAGTATCATGTCATCTGCAAATAGTGACAGTTTTACTTCTTCCTTTCCAATTTGGATGCTTTTATTTCTTTATCTTGTCTAATTTCTGTGATTAAGACTTCCGATACTATGTTGAATTAAAGTGGCAAGAGTGAGCATTTTTGTCTTGTTCCTGAACTTAAAGGGAAGACGCTCAGCTTTTCACTAGAACTGTTTTAATTACACTTTTTTTCCCTCTCTTTAACCTTCTATTTTATACTCCTCACAGGACCTTAAGTACTTTTAGGAAAGGGCCAATTATAACATTCTTCCCTGTCATATAGTAATAAAATCAAATCCTTTGATTTTATTAGCATGTCCTGGTAGGAAACAGGTGGCCCATTCAAATGGGGCAACTGGGGAAAATTTAATGAAGGGGTTATTTACAAAAGACTGGGAAGAGTTACTTAAGGTCACAGGGGGTGGTTCAGTACCTGGACTAGTGACATTTAGGATACTGAAATTTGATAGAGGTAGGAACAATTAGTAGGACTATAACTGTAGGAAAGGGCCATTCCATCGAAACCATGGCTTTTGGTTGGGGTAAAGAACAAACTGAGGTGATCCAGAAGATGAAATCTGGTGGAATAAATTCCCTGATCTTTCTCTTCTCTTATCATCTTTTCTCCTTGTATTGTGTGCCCCATCCTTCTGTTGCCCAAACCCAACCAGAAGCCAATGGACAAGGGAGTCACTGATACACTCCTATGATTAGTTCCCCAAGTAGACAGTAGATTAAATATGGGTAAAAAAAAAAAAAAAAGCAGGGGAATAGATCTGTAAGTAGATGAAAAAGGTCCTATACATCTGCTTAACTTAGTCAAGATCATGAAATGTATAAGTATACTGGTTTCCTCTTCTTTCCATAATCTCATTAAAATAATAGAAATGAATTATAAAAGCCCTAATTCCTTGTTAAAAAAATAAGAGAAGACCATCAGTGGATGAGAGCTCTAAACACATTTATGAAAAACTTAATAGACAAGACTGAGAAGTAGAGAAAGTGATGATGCAGCACAGGAAGCTATGACCTAACTTACCAGGAATGTGGACGGCAAGAGAAGAGGAAGCTCATCTACCCACAGAGATTCTTTAGAACGGTGGTGGCTGGTCTGATAGAGGGCAGGAATGAGTAGTGGGACTGGAAAAAAATGGGTTATTTAAAGCCTTTAAATAACCATTAGAGGCATAAAAATAGTGATACAATTTTAAAAAATTGAAAGGTGGTGCAAAGTAAACTCCCATCAGTTATAGCAGAAAGTCAATAAATGATATCTAAAATTAATGAATCAAGAAGCAATGACATAAGCTTATTATTTATAAATTAGGAGATAACCACAGAAGAACTAAATAGAGTTCAAAGTGTTCTGGAAGGAAGACAGGGAATTGGTTGTGGGTCAGTTGTTTCTCACTATAAGTCTTTGTAATAAAGATTTTTTTTTAAAAAATCATGTGAATATATAATTTTAATGAAAGCTCTTTTTTTCCCCTTTTGTCACACTCCACTTAGTTTGCTGGCTTTCTAGAAATTTTCTTCTTAATATAGTTAGATCCATTATCTGTCCCGAACCTACCAATTAATTCCATGTTTTCCTATACCACCCCTTCTATTCATTCTTTGCAACCTGCCCTCAACATGTGCACACTCACAAGCCAAATGCACACATTTTCCATCTGAATGCGGCTACCTGTCTTACTCTATGATTTCCATGCACCCATTTATGTCTCAGCAGTGGCTTTTCTCAAACTTTCCTTGGGCCAGAATGGCTTCAACCTTTTTTCTTTTTCTATTAAGATTTCAAGTTCCAGAATAAAATCTACCTCCTCCCGGAGCTGTCTGATTTCCAGAGACAAAAATGATTACTCTTTCTTCTCTACTCTCCTAACACTGCCCACTGTTGATACTTCTCGCTCTAATGATGTCTTAAACTTGGTGTATCTCTATCTGCCTCCTTTTCTTTCTGTTTAATTGTAAGTTCAAGAATTTGTATCTTTATATCTAGTGCAAGCTTGGCACATGGTAATTGAAATAGTTACTAGCCACTGTAATGTAATTGATTTTTATCGTTGTTATTGATTCAAGAGGAATCTAAAGATTATGGGATGAGTGCCCCAGCACATTAAAGTGAACATCGGTTGTCTTTATTGAGATGCCTATTAATACTTCTCCTTTTCAGCCAAACCAGAAAGTAGACAATATTTTGTTCTGTCACAGTTTTAGTGCCTTTTCCCTAAATTCCAATTATATACATATTGTCTCAGGTTATGAGGACTAAGAAATGTAAGAAACCAATATCCATAAATAAATAAATTACTAATGTATTAATTTTAATGAGTATTTGCATTTTAAAAAGTTACCCACAGAGGGAAGTGCCTTGCTGGAGGGAATGAATTGCTCATATAAAACTCTGGGCCCTTGAGCTATTGTTTTGAGATCAAAGAGGGTTTCTGGGGTTCCTCAGATTATGCCATGTAACTCTTATGCCATAGCTAATATAAATTCTGATTAATTTAGAGCGTAGTAAAACAGTTGGAAAACGAACTTTGCATATAAGAACAAATAGACTTGAAATCACTATTATTGACTGTTAACTATCTATCTCATAGGAGTAAGACTGAGTATAATATGAAGTATTAACCCCTGTCTTTGCTTGTTATTCTCAATCCCTAAGTAGTCTTACCACATTCTTACTTCTCTCCCTCCCTTCCTCCCTCCCTCCCTCCCTTTCTTCCTCCCTCTCTCCCTTCTTCCTTCCTTCACTCCCTTCTCTCCCTCCCTCCCTTCTTCCTTCTTTCCCTCCCTCTGTCCATTCCTCCTTTCCTTCCTTCTTCTCTTCCTCCTTTCCTCCCTCCCTCCCTCCCTCCTTCCCTCCCTTCCTTACTTCCTTCCTTACTCCCTTCCTTCCTTCCTTCCTTCCTTCCTTCGACTAACCCTGGATTTTTCCCTGCATCCACATAGAAGGTCACTACAATTTTATTTTTCCTTTACTTCAGGAAATGCCACAGTAAAACAGTCTCGATACAGGATTATCATCCAGGAAGCAGCCAACGGAGGCCAAGAATGCCCAGATACCTTATTTGAAGAGCGAGAGTGTGAAGATATTTCATTGTGCCCCATATATCGGTAATTAGTTACCTTTTTAGATAAACATTAGATTTTAGTATAAATCATGACCTATTTTCTTTATATAGTTGATAAGCTTTAGTGAGAAGTAAGAAGAGATAATGTTTATCTTTAATACCTCAATATTTTTCTCTCTTATTTTGAATATATTTTGAGGGAGTAAAGAATATGAAAGTCTAGTTAACAGGACAAAAGAAACAAACATGTTTTGATTTTAAGTGAGATGCTGGAGTTCTGCCACCCAGGCAATCAATTTTAAGGATTAGGATCCAAAGAGATTCAGGATAGTCTTTACCTGGAAAACAAATACACATATAAGTTACTTCATTCTATCATTTTCATCCTAAAGCTTTTAATCAAGAACTAAGAACAAATATGTACTTTTAAGATAATTATTTACTTTCATTAAAAAAAATGGTTCTTAAGTTTTGTACACATTTTAAGAAACCATCCTCTTAGAAAAAGAAGTTTAACCTATGGATAAAATGTACATTAAAAAAAAAGGGAAAATGACTTTTAAAGTATATATGGTACTTACATGTTCCCTCTTGACAAATTGGTGATTTTTATTTATAAAAGCAATGCCTGAGATTTGTGTGTTTAGTCATTAATGTCCATTCTTTTAATGTTGGATTGAAGCTTTGCTTTAGAGTGCATCTGGATTAAATCCATTCACTGTTGAGTTTTACTGATTTGTGAAAAAACAAAACAAAACATTGTCTTAAAGTTCAAATAGCACACTTAAAAATGCCTTTAGCAAAAATGTCTAGTGTTTCTCCTGATTATTTGAAAAACTATATCTTAAAGCTATGAAATTCAAGGGCTAATTTGTTTAGGAAAATACAAGTTATTTTTCTTTTTCCTTCTTTCTATCTTTTTTTAAAGAAGACTCCTCACATTAGATAGAGTATCATTGAAGAGACTGCATTACTATCAATTTTATAATCCTTTATTCTCGTTGTTTCCATCTAATGGCCAGTTTAAGGAGGATGGGAATAAATACTGGGAACATGCCCAGACTACCAGTGTTCCTTCATTAACCACAAGGCTGCTGTGGAAACACTGTCAATATTCATCCCTTTGTACCATATATAAATATTGAAACTTCTGAGCTGAGCAAAAGCGCTCTTGGGGCCAACTGAAAAAATTAGCCAAATCAAATGTCATTAGACATTTTTATGAACCCAGGGCTTTTATAATCAGAGAAAATCCTAGATGTTATTAGTGAGATTTTTCCTTTCTCTTGTCCACTTTCTTTACTCTCTGGTTGCACTTCATTTTAGCCACTCATGTTTGAACTCGTTTCCATCATTGACAACCTGCCATTTTTCCCAGAAACCAGTTTTGCTGTGTCTGGATTGGATCATTGTTATCGTTTCTCCTGATGCCTGGTTTAATATGTATACAAGTTATCAGCATGATTCTCTGCTCCTTAGTAAAGCACCCTTGAATTTTGAGCAACATGATTCCAATTCAATTTTTGCATCCCTCCTCATTGGTATGTTAGGGAGGCAAGCTAATATAGGACCTTTATCATTATCTTCTGAATCTTCTTTTTGACTCCATTAAGGTGATATATTCATATGCTTACCAAGTTAAAACAGAACCAAAATGTCTGTAGAAATTTTTTTGTGAATCTGAGACTCTCCCAACACATTAAGTTAATAAGCAAAAGGGAAGACAGCATGGTGATGTATCCTTATGTAGAATTGACCGTGGGGTCAAGGGTCTGTAGCTGAACATCCAGGGTTTTAGGAGGGACAACTGGTCAGCTGAGTTGTGCAATCTCAGACATTTCACTTAACCTCTCTGAGCCCAAGTTTATCATTCCAAAACTGAGTTTAACAAGAGTTCTGAAATTCCTTCTATTTTACTTTATGCAGTACACTAAACTTGACTGGACTCCATAGTCTCATTTTGATCTAGAAAGCCTCAGTAAACTTAAGGAATCTGAATGAATGCTACATCCTGTTGAAAAATTGGACAAAAACCCCTTGCCATTTCAGTTTCTGTGTTTTGGAATTATACTAAATGAATCTATGCATGTGTAAAGTAAATTTATAATTATTTAAAATTAAGGGGTGATCTCTTTAAACGATAAGTTTTTGTTTAGCTGTTTCTTCATTTTTCTACAATTGCTCAACTATTCCCAGTATGGAGGCCACTTGAGTGAGGTCAATGATTATATTATATGCAATATTATTGACCAGTTTTGCAAGATGAAAAAATTCTAGAGATCTGTATATACCAATTATTTCATCTCGCAAAGCTGGTCAATAATATTTTTGCTTCATGTTTCTGTTTCATCTTTGGAAGTAGCATCTCGTATCAGAGGTATTAGCTCGTATGAAAAAGTGTGAAAATATACTAAGGAAAAGAGCAGAATCTGTGGTTACACTTAAGGTTTGGGTTTTCTGGTACATTCTGAAGAGACAGGTTTAAGGATATAAGTCAGTCTGTCCTGTGGGTCATAAAAATAGAAAGTTTTGTTTACCTGAGAAAGCAAAACAGTGAGAAACCACAAGGCTTCCTCAGAGAATACTTCCTTTGAGGACGAGAAATATTGATGATTCATCAGGGGTGGATCCATTCCTCTTCCGTGAGGTGAACTATCACATAAGATAGGTCCCTGTGACTCCCCACCTCCCTTTTACTTTATGACTTATTGAGATGTCCGAATCATTTTAAAGTCTTAGAAACCACCTTATAAAAACTTTTGAAGCAGAAGATCAAGTGTGAAGGTTTGCACCCCAAACTTTCAGATTTTCACGCCCTGGTACTCTAAAACTCCAGTGGGACATAGGGATTTTTCTCTCTCTCTTTCTTTCCCTTTCCCTTCTCCTCCTCCTTCTTCTTTTCTTCCTTTTTTTTTTTTAAGATAATTTTAGATAATAAGGAGGGTAAACCTTCTAGGTTTGATCTGTGCTTTTAAGGATTTTTACTGCCACCTTGCCCTATGGACTACAGCTTATATGGAAAATGTCCACATTTTTAAAAATGGAAATACTACATTAACCATGAATCTAGGGTAGAGTGGACTGTTGTCCTCCCTAGTGCATGCCGGGGCTCCATTTTATGACATTGGTTTTGACTCCATTTTCATTGAATTACTGTTTATGTGATGTATTTCTTTTGCATGTTTGTCATGGTGAAATTCTTAGTCTGCTCTTCTTTGTCATCACAGATGGAAACCACAGAAATGGAGCCCTTGTATCTTGGTGCCAGAGCCTGTCAGGCAGGGGATAATGGGCAGCAGTGAAGGCTGTGGAAAAGGAGTACAAACAAGAGGTAAGGGAATTTTAAAACAGTTTTCCTGTTAATATGTAATTTTAGATTATGTTATTCTTATACACTATTGCTTATTTTATATTTAAATAATTATGATATTATTGGATTGAATTATTTATACTTGTCAGTATTTGAGTTTAAGTTTGGCATTAGGTAATGTTGATATTATACCATCTTTTAACCTAAACCAGCTAGTGTAGCTGAGAGCTAATGCAATGGAAGCAGATACCTGTTCTCAGTCGTTTGCATATCTCGGTGCTTCTGTTCCAAACACATACTGGACATGATCCAAGGAATGAAGAATATGTCTGTGATTATACACTGCACTTTTTAGGTGCTCATTTAATATTTGTGAAATGAATTAAGGATAATTGAACGAATGGACTAATCTTAATAATCATGACTTAAATGTAATTGTTATATTTATACTTACTATGTGTTCTATATAATATGCATAGAAAGGAACTATTTAAATTCTTGGAAGACATTGCAGGTAGTCTTCTGGATCAAAGTAGAAGTGCTTTTAATCATCAATGCCTAGGTGTGACATATTGAAATCCCTGAAAAGCACTCAGAGCCTCATCAGACTGCTCACTTTTCTGTTTCATTCATAATCCAGATACCAATCAAATGAGGCTTGGTAAGAAGTGCTTTCTTCTTAAAATCTAACCACTTTGTTGGTAAAGGGAGGTATGTAGCAAAATCAGACCCTGTGGAACCAACTGCATTATACTGGCTTTATAATTTTTTCTAAAAGGCATATTTAGAATTAAGTGTCTCTTCCTGTTGCATAAGTTAATGTATTGGTCAGGATCAGTCAAGCAAGCCAGCACAATAACTCCCTGCTTTGTCTGTTGATTCAGAGCTGAGAGGACCCCCCCCCCCGCCATGGCCAGGTGGCAGTCTTAACACCCAGGTCAATGGAATCTTATTGCGTCTCCTAATGGAAGCATTGCTTCCTTTGGAACAAAGACCTATAGGGCAGCAAAATATAAGATCACAGGAGACAGGAAGCAAACATTTTACTAGTGCGTCACCAGGGGTATAGAGAGTTATAGAACTTCTATTCATTCCCACCCCTTGATTTCTGGACCTATGAATCCTGCCTATGGGGGAAACGGTACCGAAAATCATGTGCTAATTCAGAGCATATACAGCCTTCTGTAAAACCTTGAGTCAGCCCTGCAAGGTATTGCCACCTAACTGGTATTGTAATTGAGTCTGCAAAAGACCTTTCCACCACTCTGTCAAGCCAGCCGCTTCAAGGGTTGTGGGGGACATGGTAAGATTAGTGAATTCCATGAGAATGGGCCGAATGCAGCCCTTTGTTTGCTGAGAAGTGAGTTCCTTGATCAGAAGCAATGCTACGTGGAATACCATAGCTATGGACAAGGCATTCTGTAAGCCCATGGATGGTAGTTTTGGCAGAAGTATTGTTTGCAGGGAAGGGAAATACAAACCTAGGATAAGTCTTCCAGTAAGAACAAAGTACTGTCCTAGATCTATGATGGACGTGGTCCAGTGTAATCAACCTACTACCATGTAGCTAGCTTGCCACTCTTGAGAGTGGTGCCATATTAGGGACTTGGTGTTCCTCCCTGTTGCTGGCATATCAGGCACTCAGTGATGGCCATAGTCAGGTTAACATTGGTGAGTGGAAGTCCATATTGCTGAGCCTATGAATAACCTCCATTCCTGCCACCATGGCTACTTTGTTCATGAACCCATTTGATGATGATAGGAGCCACTGGAGAAAGAAGGATGACTGGGGTGAATAGTATCCATAGAACAGGTCATCCTGTCCATTTGATTATTAATGTATTCCCCTGCTGAAGTCACCCTTTGGTAAACATTCACATGGGACTCAAATATGTTCACATTTTTCCTCATACAGAGAGGTCTATCTATATAACTCTTCCCCAGATTTCCTTGTCGCCAACTTTCCAATCATGTTCTTCCAAGACCTTGGCCATATAGCAAAACCATTGGCCACAGTCCATGAATCTGCATGTAATCGCATACCTGGCCATTTCTGCTTCCAAGCAAAGTGAACAACGAGGTATGCTGCTTTACATTCTATCCACTGAGAAGATTTCTCTTTACCTATCTCTTTCAAGGGTATATCTCAGAAAGGGGCTATAGTGCTATAGCTGTCCATTTGGGAGTTGTGCCTAGATATTGTACAGAACCATCTGTAAGCTAGGCTGGATTCTTCTCTTCTTCCATCAGCTGATTGTAGGGAACTCTCCATGAGGCCACAGGTACAGGCTGGAAGAGAGCAGGTACCGTAGCAGAAGTAGGGACCATGGACATTTGCCCACCTACTCATGTAACTTACTTGTGCCTTCAGGGCCTGCGTGGGCCAAATCATCTATACATCACTTCCATTTGATGATGCCTTACATTGTGGCTTGGTGGATTAGGTAACATCCAGTTCATGAAGGCAGCCTGGGTTGCATGATAATTTGGTGGCCCATGATTAAGGCTTCATTCTCTGGCAAGACACAGTATCAGGACAGAAGCTGTTTTGCAAAGGAGAATAGTTATCTGCAGATGGTGTCAGGGCTTGCTCCCATATCCTAAGGACCTGTCCTGAAATTCACTTATAGAAGCCTCTAAAGGCTGCAAACAGTGTTCCTGTCAGCTGCTGATACTTGAATAGCATTGGATCTGCTGGATCATCATATGGCCCAAGTGGCAGAACAGTATGCACAGTAGCCTGGATTGTTACAGAGATCTTTCTCATTCTGGGACCTGCTTAAAACTAGCAGCTATTTGAGTCTCTTGGTAAATAGGCTGGACTAACACACTTAAATAAGGAATACGTTTGCCTCCAAAATCCAAAGAGACCCATTAGGTATTGTGCCTAGTTTTGGTTGCAGGAGGGGCCAGATGCAAAAACTTATTCTTCATTGCTTAAAGGGATATCTTCACATGCTCCACACCACTGAACCTCTAAAAATTTCCCTGGGGTAGAAGGCACCTGAGTTTTTTCAGATTTATTTCTTACTCTTTTACCAAAATGCCTACAGTAGTTGCTACTTCTTGCTCACTAGATCCATTCAGAATAATGTCATTAATATAATGGACTAGTATGCTATCTGATTGAAGGAAAAAACAATCAAGATCCCCACGAACTCAATCATGAAATAGGGCTGGAGAGTCAATATACCCCTGAGGTAGGAGAGTAAAGTGTATTGCTAGCCTTGCCACCAAAGAGCAAGCTGATTTTGGTGGCCTTTATTATCTTCAGACATAGTGATAGGTGGGATTAAGGCTTTGACATAGGAATTTTGGGTCACTTCAGTTTATAACAATTACACTTTGGAAATGATGTCCCTCTCAGAACATTTATACATGTGAATTTGATTGGCAAGTTAGTTTCATTCAGGACTTCTATGAGACTAGATAGTGACTGTGTAAATTAAGGGGAGGGACCACCTCCTTCAAACATTTTACTTCCATATGTCAGAATATTGTTATAATAATATGATCTTGTAATTATAAGACCTTGACTACTTTCTACTGGAAAATTGTTATATCTCGATCAACAATCTCTCTAGGAATGAAGTTCTTTAGAAATGGCACTGTTGTGTGGTGCACGACTTAATTCCATATGGTGGCCTAGACTTTGACACTTTGATACTAGCATATCATAATGGTTGGTTTTCATTGAAAAACCATTTAGTAATTTCTGAGGAGATGTTGCTCCTAAATTATGTGGAATCTTATCACATAAATGGCAAATTATTTTATCTTAGAATAATTTTACTTTGGATTTCAATTTAAACAGATTCTAGATGGAGACCTCATAGTCCCTTAGACTAGGCAAGTGATTCCCTTGAGTTTTCTCTAAATTAGACACCAATATTAGAGAATTCCTAGTGTTTTTCTGTTGGGAAATTTGTACTTTTAAAGTAGTGGCCTGGGTCTCCAATTTTAAGATAGTGAAGTAAAGACATTTCTACTCCATCTTTTCTCTAAAATTACTTCAAAACCAGCAAGGAAGATGTGAAACAATAAGAAAAAAGTAATGTCTTTTATAAAATTGCTCCAGAGAACAAGAAGCACATTAAACTCACCTTCAAGGAAATGAGGAGTCATCTGTAACCTCAGTCACAATATGTTTTAGAAAGTGAGTGGAGATACAGTAAAGGATTTTGCCGAACAAGATTATGCCAAAGTGTTGGCAGGGGTGAAGGTGTGGGGGCTGAAGAGAAACAAAGTGATTTGTCCTGGAGAATTCCAGAAAGTTACCACATTCTGCAGAAGAAAGTATACGTGAGTGTGTGTGTGTGTGTGTGTGTTTGTGTGTGTGTGTGTGTGTTAGGAGTGGGAGCAAAACAGGGGCTTTTGGAAGTCTGATTAAAAACGATGAGCAGTGTCACCCCTTTTCCTATTCTTTTGGGAGCTTAGAGTTTTATTCTCTGGGGATATAAAACCAGAGGCATGTACTTTGGACAGCTGGTAGAGAATGGAGATGAAGGCCTAGCCTCAGATCCGGAGGATCAAAAAAAAGTGCAAATAAAGAATTAAGAGACCATCAGTTCCCTTCTTTCACCTGCTTTAGCATGCTAGCCAGGTGGCTTTTATACTTTTCAGTTCCATGGATGCCCTATCAATCTAAAAACACTATAAATTTAAATTTCTCCTTGAGGAGTTTTTGAATCACAGAGGGAGCATGAATTTAGACCATAAAATCATGGAAAGGCCAGCTTGGGGTTATAAATTCTCACAAGAGATTCTTCCCTCCCCTCATCATCCAGTGTTCAGTCTTTGATATGCAAGTGACCTTGCCAAGGCATTTTGCTTTGCATGTTTATCTCTACTTCACCCTTATATTGAGGGCTGGCCTTTGTCCTTATCATTTCTGGCGTGGGGCCATTTATGAGATCCTCCATAGTAGAACTTGAAGACATGACAATGAGAACTGGGGTCTCCAAGATTTGGTAGAAGCCCTCAGGATAAAATTTGATTACCTTGCATCGTAAGCTTTTACT